TTAAATCCAAGTGGAAAAGATGCATCACAGAGATTACATAATATTCTTGTAAGCTAAGCCAAGCAAAGAAAGAGTTTATGATCATCAAACATCAATAACCAAACCATAAGTAGTAGAGTAAAGCAAACAAACTCAACTTCAAGTTTAAGGAACATGGCAAAACAGAGCAACACAGAGTAAAATAGAGATGATTAAATGATAAACAAGAGTGTTCAGGATGGGATAATCAACCTAGAATGATCTTCAGCTTCTACCAAGATGTTCAAACAATTAATCAATGCATGATCCTTTAGCATAGAACTCTAAACATGTAAATCAATATATTCTCATGACAATGATTCTTTTGAATGCAACCTAATCAAGATCTAACCCTCATTAGTGATCAGGAAACAATCAAGCATAAAGAAACAGTCCTATCTAGCCAACAAGCTCCCTAGTCATCCATTATCATGTGTGAGGATAAGCAAATCCACTAAAAGGTTGGTTCAGACATTTCAACAAACATTTTTGATGTAGGGAAAGCCTAATTTTGAAAATCAGATGATTAGTAAGATTCAAGCATTAAGGATACCCAATAGTGAAATATCTAACATCATCTACACATAAACATCAAGTTATAAGCTTTAGATCATCCTAAATCCCAGAATTTACTACTCACAAACCATGTTCAATCTATCAAAAACTAAGCAAAGGATGTAGGAAATCATGATCAGAAGGAATAAATAGAAGATCAACAACAAGAAATGCAAACTTATATTAAAACTCAAATTGTTGCTACAAAATACCAAAACTGGAAATTGCTCAAAAACAAGAGAGAGAGATTCGAGATAAGATTTTAGTTAATGATAAGATAATAAAGCATAATGTGAAGATAAGATAAAGTTTTTTCAAAGCTTGAAATCTGAATGTTGACCAAAGTCAAATCTACTTGGAAAGGAGGTTGATGTCGGTTTGTTGCCTGATACCAGGTGGTCGATACAGTTTTGTCACTTCTTATATCGGCTTCCTGGTCGATACATATGGCCGATACTGGGATCCTCCAGAACACCGGTTTCAGCTCCATCTTCAGTATCGGGGTAAAGCCCTATATGCTGTCCAATATAGCCTGATGTCGGCTTGCACATCGACTCGCCACTCCGATATAAACAAACAAAAATTCTCCAGCTTCTTTGAGCACTTCTCCTTGCTTCAACTTGATCCTCAACTCTCCAAGCATCCTCCATTGCCTCATAAGGACCTGAAATATACTCCAAATGCAAGAGAATATGCATTCATAATACTAATGCATTCTAAGAGTCTACTATAAATGCAAATGGGACACTTTGGACTATAAAATGGATGATACGCTATAAAAAACTATATTGTATCCTGTCATGTCTGTATTGAATACCATACTCGGATGTCCCCTTGACATATCCTAGTATTAATTTAATCGCCAACATGTCTTTTTCATAGGGCCTCTCCATGTATCTACTCATCAAATTTACAGAGTATATAAGATCTGGTCTAGTTGCAGTTAAAAACCTTAGGCTTCCTATGAGTTGTTTGAATGTAGTCGGATCCACCGCTGTTCTTGCTCCTTCTTTAGACAGCTTATGACCCAGCACCATAGGATTCCTAACTGGATTACAGTTGTCCATCCCAAATTTTTCCAATATCCCAACTGCATATTTCTGTTGATTGATGAAGATTCTCCATTCAACTTGAATGACTTCTACACCCAAGAAAAACTTCATCAATCTAATATCAGCCATTAAGAACTTCTTCATCATTGAGATCTTGAAGTTCTCAAGAAGCGATTCAGAGTTACCAGTGTAGATGACATCATCAACATACATACTCACATTCAAGACCTCCTTCTCTGTATTGATGAACAGGATATGTTCGCAATAGCATTTCTCAAATCCTTCCTTGACAAAGTACTATTCGATTCTTCTGTACCATGCACTTGGAGCATGTCTCAGACCGTACAATGCATTTCTCAGTTTATAGACCTTGTTTGTTTCTCCATCTACTTTAAACCCTTTAGGTTGTTTTACATAGATATCCTCAATGAGTTCTCCATGCAGGAATGCACTCTTGACATCGAGCTGATACGCCTTGCAGTCTCTTTGAGCTGCCTTGGCAAGAATGGTTTGTATTGTGTCCCATCTTGCTATTGGTGCAAAGACTTCATGAAAGTCAACTCCTTCTCTTTGGTGATATCCTTTTGCAACTAGTCTCGCCTTGAACTTATCTAATTCTCCTTTCTCGTTGATTTTTTTTTTGAATACCCATTTCACCCCTATGACTTTGGCTCCTTCGGGAAATTCCATTAGCTCTCATGTGTTGTTCTCTTATATGAATCTGATCTCAGATTCCATTGCCTTCCTCTATTTCTCCATCTTTACTGCATCTTTAAAGTTTTCAGGATACTCTAAAGTTGTGTATAGCATCATGACTTCTTCTCCATCAATAAAAATGGGCTTGTACATAGGCTTTCATCCAAACGGGGACTTGTTTGATCCTCCCTACTGATTCTCTTGCATTCTCGGCAGTAGGATTTTTTTGCATCGCCACTCCTTCAGTTGGATTTTGTTGCATGTGCACCACTTCAGGTGCTATTACAACATTACCATTCTCCCAATTTTCTTCCTCCAGTTCTTCCCCAACCTCGTTATCTGGCTCTCCAGGGTTGATATTTGCTTCTTCTCCCTTAGAATCGGCCATAACTCCTTCCCAGTTGAGCACCAGTTCCTAAGATTCTTCCTCTCGCTCCCATTTCTTGTCTTCATCAAATTTAACATCTCTGCTAATAATGATCCTCTTTATCTCCGGGTTTGTACACTTTTGATTCTTTGCTCACACCAAAAAAGATGCACTTTATACTCTTCTCATCCAGTTTGATCCTTCTCTCGTAAGGAATAAGTGCATGTGCAACACATCTAAATACCTTGAGATGCTCAGTTGATGGCTTGTGTTTGCTCTACTTCTCTTCTGGCATCACATCTCTAAGAGCAGCTAATGGACTTTTGTTCAGTATATGCACTGCATATTGAACCTCTTCAGGCCAGAATCTCCTTGGTACTCTTATTCCCAACAACATACATCTCATCATATTCATCACACTTCAATTCTTTCTCTCTACTACACTGTTTTGTTGAGGAATGCATATGGCTGTAAGTTGACATTTGATCTCATTCACCTTGCAATACTCTTTAAATTCAGCAGAGTTCAACTCTCCACTTCTGTCTAATCTTAGACATACCAAACCCACCTCAAGTTCTTGCTCTGCTGCAGCCTTGAATTCCTTACATGTTTTGAAATCTTCAAACTTCTCTACCAAGAAGTATGTCCAACACTTCCGGATGTAGTCATTAATGAAGTTGATGATGTAACGCTTTCAACTCTCAGACGTCAATGAAATTGGTCGACAAATGTCTATGTGGACCAATTGAAGTGCTTTGCTTACCCTCCACGAGCACTTTCTTGAAATTCTTTCTCGAATTTGTTTTCCCTTCATGCAGATTTCATAGATTCCTGAAGTTTTATCGTGAGATATTTGTTGTAGACCATTCACCATATTCTTCTCTGATAAACTTTGCAACCCTCCACGTTTCAAATGGCCAAGTCACTTATGTCACAGTTCCTCTACTTTCTCTTCAGTTACTTGGAGATGTCCTGCTACTTTTGTCTCCTTAGCCCCTTTCACTTCAGTTAGAACAACAAAAATTCGATTTCTTGACATGGTTGACTTCATAAGAAGTATATTTTCTTGCTTGTGCTGTATCTCACATACGTCATCTTTTATGACAATCCTCAAGCCTTTTTGCCGCAGTTGTCCAATGCTCAGCAAGTTGCTTTTTAGCCCCAAAACATAGTAGATTGAGGAGATCATTTGAATTGATCCTTCATTTGCAGCCTAAGACTCCCTTTTCCTTCCGCCATCATTCTTCTGTCGTCTCCCAACTTGACATTTTGACGAGATGATTCATCAGACTGGACAAACACACATGTGGTTACTGCATCTCGAGTCTAAGAACCACACTTTTTTCTTCTGCATTGCAACATAAGCCATGAGAATTACATTATCTTAAACTCGGCATAGTTTGCATTCTTTTTCCACTCAGGACATTTAAACTTGTAATTCTCCAACTTGTGACACTTGTAACACTCCACTGATTCCTTACTTGTACTCCCTCTTCCACGGCCTTGAATCCTCCTTTGCCTCTACCTCTACTTTGATAAACTCCATGGTCTCTCCCTTCACCTGATCTCCATTGGCTTTCAGATTTTAGAGCCTGTTCATCACCCCATGCCTGCTCAGCTTCTGCTCATGAACCATTAGTGAGCTTTGCAGCCAATCAACGGTCATCTCTGAGATGTCATTCAATTCTTCAATTGTGCACACTGCAAAAATGATCATCTCTATAAGGTTCGTTAGTATATTTTCAACCACCTTTGGATCTGACATATCTTCACCAAGATTTCTTATGTCATTGACCATCATCATCACTCGAGAAAAGTATTCTGTGATTGTTTCTCCTTCTTTCATTTCTAATATCTCAGATGACCTTCGTATTCTCTGCAGTTTTGCGCTTTTCATCCTTTGGTTCTCTCGATACTTCCTCTTCATGGACTCCCAGAGATCCTTGGAAGTCTCCTTATTTAGGATTGTCTTTAGAATGGTCTTGTTGATGGTGGCCAAGAGATAATTCTTCACCTTCAAACCTTCAGTTCTTTGTGCTCCGGTGAATATGATGTTTCTTTTTGGCCTCGATCAATCCCCACCACTCTTTTGATCTAAGAAGATTTTTCATAAGCATTATCCAATACTCATAATCACCATCGAAATTTGATATACTCATGTATGTATCTCTCTCACCCATCTTTTCTCACTTGTACCAAGCTCGTTGTAAGCTGTAATACCACTTGTAAACTGTTAGTGTGTATAGAAACGATGTCGTTGCATTTATGGGCTTTACAATGCGCTAAAGGTCCAAATTTAAGTGTAGACATTACCGATCCCCAGCCATTCCCCCAATTTGTATCTGGCGCGAGGTTTTTCCGCGGAGGAGAGATGATCGACGACGGTTCGCCTCTTGCGGTGGCGATGGAGGTGGAAGAGTCTCCGGCGGCGGCGATTGCACCGAGAGAACCACCGAAGATTCAACGCCTAGAGGAATCAGTGGTCAACCGTATCGCAGCGGGTGAAGTAATCCAGCGCCCAGTTTCGGCGGTGAAGGAGCTCGTCGAGAACAGCCTCGACGCTGATTCAAGTTCCATTAGCGTCGTTGTTAAGGACGGTGGCTTGAAGCTCATTCAAGTCTCCGACGACGGCCACGGTATTAGAGTAATGCTCTACACACTCTCATTTCTAGTTTTCAAAATCGGAATATCCTTGTTTGTGTGGAAAATGAACAGTTTGTGTTTTTTTTATTTTTTTTTAATTTAGTGTGAAGACTTGCCGATACTATGCGAGAGGCATACAACATCGAAGCTGACTAAGTATGAGGATTTGTTCTCTCTAAGCTCAATGGGTTTTAGAGGAGAGGCACTAGCTAGTATGACTTATGTTGCTCATGTTACAGTAACCACCATTACTAAAGGCCAGATTCATGGTTACAGGTTTGTAATAACATTGTATTCGTTTCACTTATGTTTTGTTCTACTAAATGTGTAGATAGTGATGTGTTATCTGCAAATTTTTGTTACAGAGTGTCTTATAGAGATGGTGTGATGGAGCATGAACCAAAGGCGTGTGCAGCTGTTAAAGGAACACAGATAATGGTAAGTTATCAGCTCAAATTTTCCTTTAAGATTTTGAAACTTTTGGATCAAAATTGGTTGAGCAAAGAGCAGGAGAAGCGAATTTCACAAGAAACTTCCCATGTTTATGTGTATAGGTTGAGAATTTGTTCTACAATATGATTGCAAGAAGGAAGACACTTCAAAATTCTGCTGATGATTATGGAAAAATAGTAGATTTGCTGAGCCGTATGGCAATTCATCACAATAACGTGAGCTTTTCGTGTCGAAAGGTTGGTAAATACTTACGAACTAACTAGTCTACCTTCTTTTGGTAAGCAACTTTTTTGGTAGTTGTGAGACAAATGAGCCAAAAAAATTTATGATGCTGTCTCACTAGCATGGAGCTGTCAAGGCTGATGTTCACTCTGTTGTGTCGTCTTCGAGGCTTGATTCAATCAGAGCTGTTTACGGGGTATCAGTTGCAAAGAACTTGATCAAAGTAGAAGTTTCCTCTGGCGATTCCTCCTCTAGTTGTACTTTTGATATGGAAGGTTTCATATCCAATTCGAACTATGTTGCTAAGAAGACTATATTGGTGCTTTTCATTAATGGTGAGGAACTTTCTTTCCTTAATAGAAATGAAAAAAGTTATATCTTAGTCAGTAGATAATGCTATGTACTGATGTTTGATGTATTGATTACAACAGATAGATTGGTGGAATGCTCTGCCTTAAAAAGAGCCATAGAGATTGTTTATGCTGCAACATTACCAAAAGCATCGAAACCTTTTCTCTACATGTCAATCAATTTGCCACGTGATCATGTTGATATCAATATTCACCCAACAAAGAAAGAGGTAATTGTTTTCCTCCTATTATGCTAGATTGTGTATTGTTGCTTAAATTGCTTGAATAATAAGTTCCTTATTTATATATATAGTATACATCAAATAGTAAATGATTTGGTCTAGCGTGCAGGTAAGCCTTTTAAACCAGGAGATCATGATCGAGATGATACAGTCAGAGGTCGAATTAAAACTGAGAAGCGCAAATGATACTAGGACGTTTCAAGAGCAGGTATATTTGCAAAAGAACCTGGAGTAATATTTTTCTCTGGAGGTTAAGAACATTTATTCAATAGTTACAAGTGTTCTTTCATGCTACAGAAAGTGGAATACATTCAATCTACGTTAACACCCTCAAGAAAAGATGATCCAGTTTCTCCGTTGCCTTCTGGTATTGGATAACTTTTTTTATAGCCTAAAACCTTTACCGTTGCATGCTCTTTTGTCCTTTTTCACTTCATAACAAAGCTTGTGCTGTTCTCATTAACTAGGACAAAAAACACCGAAAGTTCCTGTGCATAAAATGGTGAGAACAGATTCATCAGATCCAGCTGGAAGGTTACATGCCTTTTTGCAACCCAAGCCCAATAATCTCCCTGACAAGATTTCCAGTTTGAATGCAGTAAGGTAAGACCTTACCTGATACAACATATATAATTTTTTTTATAAACAAAGTCAGATCCCGTGTCATCACACTTGCTTGAAAATCTCATCTTCTTAACGGCGATGTGCACTCCTTTGGTTTCCTTGAAGGATGTTTCTTTGGCCTGATATTCTTTTGGTTAAAATGTGTTATTCTTCGTTAAATTCCACTTGATATTATTACTGGAATTTTATTGCAGGTCGTCGATAAGACAAAGAAGAAACCCAAAGGAAACTGCTGATCTTTCTAGTGTTCAAGAACTTATTACTGGTGTTGACAACTGCTGCCATCCAGGTAGCTTTCTCTTCATGGTTATTCTTCTATACATAACCTTCTTTAAACCAATCCTCGTAACCATTTCTTGAAATTATTTTATTAGGTCTGCTGGAGACTGTAAGGAATTGCACATATGTTGGAATGGCAGATGATGTTTTTGCTTTAGTTCAGTATCAAACCCATCTATATCTAGCAAATGTGGTGAACCTCAGGTATCGAGTATTCTTAAGTTTTAAATGTTTTGTGGAGGATAATTCTATTGTGTCAATATATAATAGTCTATACGAATTGTATTTTTGACGGTTTTTAAGCTGTATGTACAAAGAAGCTCATAGCACATATACTCTTATTGGATTTCTGCAGCAAAGAGCTCATGTATCAGCAAACTCTTCGCCGTTTTGCTCACTTTAATGCTATACAGCTTAGCGATCCAGCCCCTCTGTCTGAGTTGATATTGTTGGCTCTGAAAGAGGAGGATCTGGATCCTGAAGATGGTGAAAAGGACCATATGAAAGAAAGAATCGCTGAAGTAAGTTTGTTCATTCTGCATCGTTTTTGTACGGTAGTGTGTCAAATATCCATTGTATCCTCAACAGCGACAAGTTCCTGAGGCTACCATGTTGCCTATGGATTTGATTTAACTTGTTTCTTTATTAATACACAGATGAATACAGAACTACTCACGGAAAAAGCGGAAATGTTAGAGGAGTATTTCAGCGTTTATATCGACTCCGATAGAAACTTGTCACGTCTTCCTGTCATACTCGACCAGTATACACCTGACATGGATCGTGTTCCCGAGTTTTTACTATGCTTGGGAAATGATGTGAGTTTTGTACATTATTGCTCCTACTGAAATGTTACTGATCAGAGGAACAGTGTGTTCTAATACCGCATTACCGTATTATTAAGGTTGAATGGGAAGATGAGAAGGCTTGCTTTCAAGGAGTTTCTGCAGCTATTGGGAACTTTTACGCCATGCATCCTCCTCTTTTGCCAAACCCATCCGGTGATGGTATTCGATTCTATACTAAGAGAAGTGAGAGCTCTCAAGAAAAGCAAGATTCAGGTACTTACACTCTGTTTGTGCCTCATGCTTTTCGTTTTTTGGTTCTCTGAATATGAAAAGGAAGTGAGCATCTAATTTGAATTTTGATGCAGAGGGTAACGTAGAGATGGAGCCAGCTCTTGAGCAAGACCTTATCTCAGATGCTGAAAACGCATGGGCGCAGCGTGAATGGTCAATCCAACACGTGTTGTTTCCTTCTATGAGATTGTTCTTAAAGCCACCTGCCTCCATGGCTTCAAATGGGACTTTTGTAAAGGTTACCCATTTCTCTAATCACCAAGAGTAGTTTCACATAAAGTCCAAAACATTAATTACATTCTTATTTACTCTTTTCCAGGTAGCATCCCTTGAAAAGCTTTACAAGATATTCGAACGATGCTAATTTTGAAGATGGAAGTTTTGATATGTGTAGGCTCCCTGTTGCTCTTAAACTATGTTTACAGACTGAACCAGTTTATGGTTTAACCAAACTGTGGCACGCAATGATAATAATCAAACTCGATCCTTACTGTGACTTATCCTCGTCAATAGATTAGACCTTCTCTGGCATGAGTCGTGCAAACGAACGTTCACCAGAATCTTTGTCCTGTATCTTGTGAAATCTCTCGAATAGAAGCAGTTTGAAAAGAGAAAGTGAGAGACATAGAAATAGCCCGACGAAGCGTTTGTCGTCCCTGAGAGAAACCGCTTCTCTCGCTCCCAACGCTGCCGCTTCTGTAGCCCTCTCTCGAACTCCTGGCTTGTGGTAAGGCCATGTGGCTTCTTCTTATCAGATTCAAGCTAATCTCCCCCGGTAAATGCAGTGTGAACCGGTCTAGATTCTCACCAAACCGAACCAATGAATGTCCGGTCGAACGAGATCTAGGGACGAATAACTCAGCCATACGCCAGCTTGACAATAACCCTGTAGATCTTGATCTTGGCGTTATATAGTTTTGATTGTTGTTCCATGTCACACTATTACTCACCAAGCTTATGTCGTCTTGAGATTCTAAAACACATGTTTGTGCATTTCCTGTTTCAGGGTCCGTTCTCGGATCTTGAAAGCTATCGCCCGGTTTAAGAGACAGATTTGCACGGCAGACCGGACACGTGGAACGAGAAGAGAGCCACACGTCGATGCAACTAACATGGAAAGTGTGGCTACAAGGAGGCATCCAACGTAACGGTTCTTCATCTTCAAACTCGTTTAGACAAATCGCACATTCGATTCCGCCCTTGCCGATCTTTAGCCCTTTAACCTCTTGAGTAAAGGAAAAACGGAAAGGACACAATGGTGTCCTTGTCGAGCCCATTCGTAAATCTTGTGTGCAATACTTCACGGCCTTCCGCTGCAACCGCTACTCTATAGAATACACAGCACAAGCATAAACAAATCATAACTGTAAGCAAAATCCCAACCAAAATTGTCCCAACTACAAATTTCGGCTCCGCGGATTCTTCTGACTCTTGCTGGCAGGTTACTAAGGGAAAAACTGGAAAAAATAATAGCGGCAATACAACACATGGTACGATCCGATGGATGATATCTCTCGTGAAGATGGTCATAATGTGCTCTGCTCTTTTAGTATATCACTCGAGTTCCTTGTCTCCGTTTAGAGAAAAAAAAAGTGCTCTGCTCTTTTAGTATCACTCGAGTTCCTTGTCTCCGTTTAGAGATAAAAAAAATAACAAGAAGAAGTTATTATACTATGTTACTGCCCGTCATGACACCAAATATTGTATTACTCTACTTTGTTTAGATTTGTTTAGGTCCGAATGATTGGTGTGGCTTTTTCCTCCAGCGTATTTGACTTTGAAGAAGTCGTTATGTTCAACGTAGATGTAGAACAAGTACAACTCCACTCCTCTATTAACTTGTTGACTACGCAACAGACTTTTCCGATGTTTTGACCAAATCAAGCCTGTTGACTTAATTGAAATTAGAAGACTATAGCAAAAGAGATTAGGATGCGTCTCTTATCCTTTTGATAAATAAAATGATAGTAGCTTATTAACGATATGGCCAATACGTTTTATTGATCGTATATCAATGTTTTTGAACCGTTAGGCACACTATACATGTGTTTTCTTTGTCTTAGTTACTCGACCAAAAAGCAAATGTCACATTAGCGTATTATTTAGGTTGAGGGGGAAGATGAGAAGGCTTGTCTTCAACGAGTGCCTGCGGCTATTGAGAACTTTTTACGCCATGCATCCTCTTCTTTGCCACAAACCCATCGGTTTTGGATTCTATACAAATTAAGAGAAGTTGATGTAAGATTGGAATCCACCAAATCTAATAATCACAAGATGATCAAGAGATTTCAAGCTTGTTGTGGAAGATGGATGATGATAGATATGATGATGGAGTTTTGTTGAATGAATCCACACTCAATTCACAGAACAAACAACTTGAATCCACAAAATATTTAATCTGCAACACATAGGAGATTAGTGAATCCATACTAGAATCACACATGGAATTAAAGCAAGTTGTGTCATGCCTTGTATCTCGAGATTTTCTTAATAAATCCACGTCTTGATGCTCTTGTAGATGATTCTTTATGTTTCACTTCAAATCCATATAGCCGTTGAAAAATAAAAGCATCATTTGACCTTTATTCTCTTTGATTTTTTGGCTTAGTGGACGTAAATATGAAATGTCAAAACCCTTAGATGTGTGAAGAAACTCCCCTGATCGCCACACCTTTGTTTGCAACAAATCCAAATAAGGAAAGTTCCATATGGGTCGAAAACTAGCCCATAAGAGTTTGTTGTAGGCTCTAGTTGGGCCAGGTTCTATCTGGATCATGTCTTGGATGTTCTTCTCCTCTTATTGGTAAACCATCGTCTTGAAGACCTCATCAAAAGTGAGATATCTCAGGAAAATATATTAGAGCAACCCTGATAGAGAATTTTGGGTGTCTAAAGTAAAAAGTCTTAATAATAAAAATGAATAAAAATAGTGAAAGGATTTAAAATAAGACATTTAGTGTCTAAAATAGGATACTTTTTGAGTTAAGACACCCAGTGTCTAAAATAAAATAATAAAATATTTTTAAGACATTGTTAATGAGTTCTCCATTCGGGTTGGTCTTAGAGTACCACATCTAAAGATTATAAGAGCCAACAATAGTACTATATATGGGATTTGAGACAATCTACTTATTGTTGATTAGTTTTGAGTTGAAAACCTATTATAAGCTCAAATATTACATAACATGGTAGTCTCATTTGTTCCCCCAACTAGGGTAGACCAAAAAGGATTTACTACTGGTGCAAAATGGGGTTCGGTGGTAAGAACAATCATCTTGAAGGGGTGTAGTAGGATCTCACATCGAAAATTTGAAAGAAGATACAATAGAACCTCTATAAATTAATACTCGATAAATTAATAATCACTATAAATTAATAATTTTTACCGGTCCCAAGTCGGGCCAGTGTAAAAATTAGCAAATTTCGATAAGGTAATAAGATAATAACTTTTTTGAAACTCCTATGTAAACATATAGTCCCAATAATTAGATAAATTAATAATTATACATTTAAGCATATATAAATAATATAATATAGTAAAATATAATTATATTATTGTTTCAAGTTTATAAAAATTGTTTAACTTATTTTTCAAATTCACTGGTATGATATTTTCTGAATAAATTTTATATTGTTGAAAATATTTTTTGTTTTTTGACAAATATTTTGAATTTGAACTGAAATATTTCTCTATAAATTAATAAAACATTAATTTCTCGATAAATTAATAATTATTTATTTATCGATTAATTAATAACTCTATAAATTAATAAATTTTTGAAATCCCAACATTATTAATTTATAGAGGTTTTACTATATGTCAATCCATTTATCGCCAATTTATTTTAAGTTAGATGCTACGATAAATGAAAATTTAACAAGGTATTTACCTTTCCTATTGTTTTTCGATTTTGTTTCTCTGCATATGAAAAGGAAATGAGCATCTAATTTCCGTCTATGAGATTGTTGTTAACGCCACCAGTGTCCATGGCCTAGAATATGACTTTTGTAAAGGTTATCATTTCTCTAGTTTCCAATAGGAGCTTCATAGGTTAACATAAAGTCCAAAACATTTTCTCCAAAATCAAAAATATCACAAAAACATTAATTACATTCTTTTTACTCTTTTGCAAGTAGCATCGTTCGAAAAGCAGTATAATATATTCTAACGATGCTAGTTGTAACATTTGATTACATATGAAATTTGATATGTGTAGGCTCCCATTTGCTCTAAATATGTTTGACTCATATTAAATAACCTCTACCATAATCATACTCAACTTTTATGTGACCTGTCCTCGTCAACTGAAAGCAAAAAAAGAAAGTAGATACACTAGACCTTCTCTGGCATGAGGCGTGCAAATGACCATTCACCAGAATCATTGTCCCTAGCTTGTGAAATCTCGTGGACGTCCTTGCCAAGTGTAGACCGAACAGAAACAGTTTGAAAAGAGAAAGAGAGAGCCCGACGAAGCGTTTGTCGTCCCTGAGAGGAACCACTTCTCTCGCTCCCAACGCTGCCGTCCTTCTCTCGAACTCCTGGCTTTAGGTAAGGCCATGTGGCTTCTCCTTATTAGGTTGAAGCTAACCTCCTCCGGTAACTGCAGTGTGAATCGGTCTAGATTCTCACCAAACCGAACCAATGAATGTCCGGTCGAACGAGATCTAGGGACGAATATCTCAGCCATACGCAACTTTGACAATAACCCTGTAGATCTTGATCGAGGCGTTATATAGTTTGCATTGTTGTTCCATGTCACACTATTACTCATCAAGCTTATGTCGTCTTGAGATTCTAAAACACATGTTTGTCCATTTCCCGTTTCAAGATCCGAGATATCGCCCGGTTTAAAAGACAGGTCTGCACGGCAGACCGGACATGTGGACCGAGAAGAGAGCCACACGTCGATGCAACTAGCATGGAAAGTGTGGCTACAAGGAGGCATCCAACGTAACGGTTCTTCATCCTCAAACTCGTTTAGACAAATTGCACATTCGACTCCGCCTTTACCGATCTTTAGCCCTTTAACCCTGAGTTAAGGAAAAACGGAAAGGAATCGATGACATCCTTCTCGATCCCACCACGCCTTGCTCTGTTGTGCAACCCTTCTCGGCCTCCGGCTTCGATCTCTGCACCATGGGATGTACGAAACAAGTAGCCACCGATTATACTTAATAAGAACACAAGCAACATGATTCCAACTACCGATTTAGCCAATAACTTATTTTTCTTATCACGGTTCGCAGAAACCGATTCTTGCTGGCTGGTTACGTAAGGCAAGAATTGGAAAAGGAAGAGCGGTAATACAACACATATTACGATCCTTTGGCAGATAGTCATAATGTGAACGGCTCTTTTGTGAATCACTTCAGCTCTCTGTCTCCGTTTAGAGCGAGAGAAGATAAAGAAGAAGAAGAAGTCGATGAACAATACAAATTCTTATTCGTAGATCAATAGGATTGCACGTCACGACAACAAGTGACAGTATTATTACTATACTACTAGGTAATAATCTGCACCATGTGTAGAGTAAAATAATTATTATTTATTTATATTTAATATAATTTTAAAATCATATAATATAATATAATTAAATTAATAAAAATTTAATATAATATTATATAAAGATAATATAATAGTAATGTATATTAATTTAAAAATTAATTAGCATGCATAACACATGATATAGATGGGTAAAAAATATGAAGTTACCATACAGATTTTCAATATCCTGTAATTGATGATATTATTCATTATTTTCACCAATGTCTAAGATTTGGATATACAATTTATGTACATATTTAATTAATTTTGACTCTTAAATAATTAAATACTGTTAGTTAAATAGTTTGTTACTTATCTATTAAATATTATTAGTTAAATAAATTAAAACATTTTCTTAGTCCCAAATTGGACTTATTCAAAATATGATACAAATCGATAAGATAATATTTTTTTTAAAAAATCTATATAAATATATGGTCCATTAATATCATAAATTAATAATTACCATAAAATAATCTTATATAAAAATATAACTATGATCATTTACTAAAATATGAATATATAATGATTTGTTTTTAAAAAAAATTGAAATAATGTTATGGTTTATCTACAATTTAAAAGTGAAGTATTTAAAGATATTACTAACTTTTAAAACAAATACAAATTTTAATTAATTATTAATAAATAATTTATTTAGTTTCAAACCGATAATTTTATAAATTAAGAAAATATTGAAATCACAATATTATCAATTTATAGAATTCTCACAGTAATTAAATTGATTTATTTAAAACAGACAAACTAAGAAAAAAAAAACATAAACAAATCTTGCTGAAAATTTGATACTATATATGTTAAATCAAACATTAATTAAAAAAATAAATAATTAATATTGATATTATCATATTATGATCTCTTGCCAAAAAAAAGTAAACAATAATGCAATATACCATATTTGTCATCTAAGAATCATATATAAATTAAATCATAATGCAATATATCATATTTCCTTATATAGTAAATCTGAATATTAAATAATATATATCATAATAATTTTGAAAATTCATCATTTTCTTTTTAATTGATGTTTGTGATAAAAATAACATATATTTTTAATTTATATTTTGTATATATTATTATGAATTGTTAAAAGATATTATATATGTTTTTACAGTTATTTTCATGCATGCTATAATTATAACAATATGTGAATAAAATCATTATGATTTTATTTTATTTGTTCTGATTGATTTTTGAGAAAATAAAATATTATCTTTAATTATTCTGTTGTATTTATAAAAATATTTTTAGTAAACAATTAATAAACATATTTTTGAGAAAAATAAAATATTATTTTTAATTATTATGTCGTATTTATAAAAATATTTTTAATAAATAATTAATAAACATATTTTCTAATAAAAGTAGTAAACATTAGTAAAGTGTTATATATTTGTTATGAATTTGAGAAAAATAAAATATTATTTTTTAATTTTTCAGTTGTTTTTATAAGAATTTTGTTTTATAAATAATCAATAAAAATATTTTTTTTTAAAAGTAGTAAGCATAAATAAGTATTATATATTTTACTATGAATGATAAAAATAGTAAATATTAAAAAATATTATATATTTTATTATAAATTTATAATAAAAATATATGGATAGTATTTTAAAAATATTATATAATAAATTTCGTGTATATTATATTTAGTATTAAATAAATTTTATTTTATTAAATTATTAATTTTAATATTATTGCCTTTGAATTCATTTTAAAAAATAAAATATAACATATTTATGGACCTAAAATATACAATGGCATATCATGTAATTAGTCTAGTAATCTAAGTCTTTTTTTAAAAAAATAGCTGAGAATAAATATGAAGTTGACACATCAGCAAAATGGCACCATTGTAATATTCAACAAATTTAAGGTTTCTCTTTAAAAATGCTTCTCTTTTAATATATAGAGGATATGTTAGATTTGTTTTGGTCCAACGTTTTGACTTTGAAGATGTATTTTAGAGTATAATGTAATGGTGAGAGATTTGTATCGAGTCTTTCATTAATATAAAATTAATATTTTAGTATAATTTGATTATATAACTATAATTTGAATTACAAATTAAAAAAGATACATGTTAGTTTTTAAAGGTATTTCAAAGTTGAGAGATTTATTTTATATATATATTTTTTATCTTTTTTTAAGAAAATTAACAAAAATAATCTATAAATTGAAGCCGATTACAAAATAACCTAAATAAACAAACAATCTTTATCTTTCTCATTTACTTACGAAAATAACATCATTATTAATTCATCCAACCACTATTTTTAACCAACTTCACAGTTTTATTGCTTCAACAATCTATTTTGAGCACTCTTAGCTTATTATCTCTTTTTTTAATCTTACATTCTTTCATTTTCCTTTATTTTCATCCCAAAACTCTCTAATTTATGTTTTCAAAACTTGATGTTCTAAGATATTACCATATCCGGTGATTTGGGCTTCTTTGGTGGTAGCTAGAATCGAAGTTCTCACCACTCGAAGAAGCTAAAGACCACTGCTAGGTAATTTTTCAGTTAATTTTCATGAATTTTCAGATTTATGCCGCAAACATAGTCTTTTCTGAAGTATACTTACGATCGTAGACTTTTGAAGAAGTCTGCTGGTCAACGCATATGTTACTTTTGCAATTGACCGTACAACCATTTCTGACATTAGACTTCGATTGAAGTCTGCATTATTTTCTTTGAGAACAAAAAATTGGCGTAGACTTCAAAAGAAGACTCCATTAGAAGCAAGATAGTTTTGCATTTGGCCAAGATAGACTTTTTAAATAAGCCTGTGCTTAAAGTATGTGGAAAAGAGAGGTCAGTTTTGCAATTGACTAATGTTTAACTTTTTTCGCAGACTTTTTTCACAATCTACAAAGGCTATTTTGGGGTCCAGAAAATTTCAATTAAATAGCAAACTTCATTTGAAGCCTGCTCGTTGACAGACTTCAAACGAAATCTACTATTTAATTAATTTAATATTTAGTCAAAACTTCAAACAAAGTCTACTATAGAAAGTCAAACTAGATCAATTGCAAAACTGACATTTTTGAAGTCTACGTTTAGAGTAGACTTCTCATATGAAGTCTACTTTTACGAGAAACTTCAATCGAAGTTTACAGAGCTTGACGAAGTATACTCTGAGAAAGTCAAAATTTGGTCAATTGCAAAACCAACCTACTTTTTTAAGTAGGCTTCAAGAGAAGATTTCTTAGAGTGAAGAAGTCCACTAATATTTAAAATTGCAAAAATAACCTAAAAATACAGATTTCATACGAAGTCTACTTGTGTTGACTTCATTGTTAGTTTAATCAAGTAGACTTCATTAGAAAGCTGCTTTTTTTTATGGTTTTTGAAAACAAATTTTTAATAAATATATAATAAACTTTTAAGCTGACTTAGAGCTAAACATGCTTAAGGAAGAGGAATTAACAAAAGAAGGTGGAAGTTGTTTACAAAGAGAATAAGTGCTTAAAACTAAAGCACTGTCGTTCTACACATCAAGGAGCGCCTTCTAATCATGCCAAACCATGAGCGGTTCAAATCAAGTCAAAAGATAACTAAGAGAAACCCATCAAGGTTTGTTTCCATTAAAACTAAAAAACTCATAAAACTATTCTTCCGTTTATTTATTTTGTTTAAATTTTAAAAACTTCATAAAACTCAAAAAAATATTTTGGCTTTTTATTCTGCTTATTTAAAGTCTAAAAAACACAAAAAATTGGTTTCCATAAATTAGCAAGACATTTGTTAATTTTGAATCGAATTTTCAATCAATTGCTCATTTCACTGAAATTTCTGTTTCTCTGTTTTGCTTTTGGTTTAAACAGAACTTTGATTAGTTTATCTTGATTCTTTGCCAGGTAACAAATGGAGAATGCACCAGTAGAGCCTATGCAAGCCATGATGGCTATGATGCAAGCTATGAATCAAACCATTAATGAGAAGTTCACCTCCATAACCAATCGTCTGAATCATTTGGAGGCCCCTGAATGCCAAGTTCCTATGTAACCAAGGAGAAACGTTCAACCTAGAGATCCTAATGATCTAAACCGTGAAGAGGATCCCCCTGATACACCACCACCACGAGCCATTGACCCTATTCAAGTTGCTCAAGACATCCTCAACAGAAGAAACAATGCTGACAGAAATAAGCCTATGAATGAGGACAGAAACTTGCCACCAAAAGTCAAGCTCAATGGCCTAACATTTGCATAAAAGATAGATCCAACAGCATACTTAGAGTGAGAGAGAAGAATGGAGCATTTGTTTGAATACTATTCTTACAATGAGGCAAAGAAGATATCCCTTGCCATTGTCAGCCTCATTGATCATGCATTAGCTTGGTGGGACAGAGAAGTAGCTGAAAAGAGGAGATTGAGATATCCTCAAATCAACAGATGGGCTGACATGTAGTTTTAGCTTCAAAAGAGGTATGTTCTCCTTCATTATTATAGAAACTTACTGAAAAGATTTACATATTTGTAACAGAGAACCAGAAGTGTAGAAGAATAATATGAAGAATTTGATGTACTAAGGAGCCGTCTTGAACTTGAAGAAACAGAGGAGCCTCTCATATCTCAATTCATGGATGGCCTGCAAGACAGAATACAAAGGAAGGTGGAAATGCAGCCTTACCATTCACTGCAAGAGCTTCTTCATCTAGCTATTCAGAGAGAGCAGTAAATCAAGAGGAAGACATCTTCAAGAGGGCGCCTAAACCAAACATCCTGGAATTAACAAATTCAACCTCCACAACAGCAGCAACAAACTCCA